AGTCCTTCAAGCCCTACAAATGGTATACCAGCGGACTAGGTAGTTTCCACGCCTTCCACGCTGCAGTCACATTGGCTGTCATCCTGCTCATTCCCGAGGGCCAGTCTGAGTACGAAGAGATCAAGGATATTCTCGATCGGGCACTAGATATGTTCGCCTCGCTCTCAGTCCGCAGTGTTTTCTGCAGCAAGGCTGTTCCCATAATTCGACAGATGATGTACGTGTTACACCCCATCCTTACCTATTCATCTCCAGACCAGTGACTAACATACAAACCAGCGACGTTGCCTCGACAAAATACAACCCCCAATCACCCACCCACTCTCAATCCCACCTCCAAGCCCAGGCCCAGGCCCAGGCTCAAGTCCAAGCTCAAGTCCAGCACCAGCAAAACCAAGCCAATATCCAATCCCAGTCTCACAATCACCTCCTACCAAGCATCCAAATCCCACTCTCAATGTCAAATCTCTCCCCCGGGATGACAATGCAGGACAACTATGCCCTCTCGCACCCACACTCGCAATCCGGGTCTCCGGTGCCAACTGTTGCATCGACCTCCAGTGAGCACACCATGCATTCCAGTTTCGGGCAGATGCACCCGCAGAACTGGATTAGCCCTACTTCCGTTCCGTGGGAGACATTGGGGGCTGGCACTGGGGGGTATGGGTTTGATTAGAGACGATGTGATAGTATGACCTTTTGATGACAGTTTTAATTTCAGGGTCCGGATCTAGGAGGAAGCATTTTGGCGTGGAGCATATTGGAATTGGTAGTTTTGGTGACTTATTATTCTCTTATAATGTTTGGTCATGAGTCATATGAGCAATGAACAGATGGAAGGATGGAAACAAAAGTGTCTCTTTTGAATCAACTATATCTCTAACCATCCACGGATAACAAATCTATTTATAATATAATAATCCAAAAACAACCTTGGAACCCATTCTAAATCCCGTTGAAATACCTAGGGCTATTCGCCAAACCCAGGAGCCCCCCCAAGACTTCCGCTGCATAACAGCAAAGCCCACCGCATCCTCCCCATTAACCGGAGGGTTACATACCATAAGCTCCATATCCATAACCCTCTCATAAAACGGCACCGACCGTTTCCAGTCTCCAGTAAGCAGCAGCGATCTCCGCAGATAAGGCATCGACTCAATAACCTCCTGCACGCAGGTTACAAGCCACGTTCCCAGGCCAAGACCCTGGAGCGAGGACAGGACAAAAACGTCTGTCAAGAAGAGGAACGTTGTATAGTCTGTTATGCAGCGTGCGAAGCCGACGAATTCGAGTGTGGACTCTGAGGATGGCTCGTTCTCCGGTGTCTTGTCTGGCTGGTTCTGGCTTTGGATTTGGCTTGGATTGCGATACAGCCCGAAACACAAAGAGTTCTGCAGTGTTTCGCGCAAAGCGGGCTCTGGCATTGGCTTTGCCCAGTAAAATTCTTCGCCGGCGTACCAGGTGTTTAGGGTTTCGATGGGGATTAGGGATATGTCAGTTGAGACTAGGTATTCTCCCTTTGTCCAGGTTTTGGGTTGGTCGCGTAGTTCTGTTCGAGAGGACATTTTTGGGTCCTGGGGTAGATGTTAGTATGTCTTGGGGGTAGTTGAAGGGGTTATTGGTGTTGGGGCTCACTATTTCCCCCCCTTCTGAGTGGTCTCGAGTAATGAGAAGATGGAAGAACAGAATGTGAGCTATAAATATGTGAAACCTGAATTATAAGTGAACAGTTAAAGAACAAAAATTACCACCTGGAGAGAGGGGTCTTTAAATATGGAGACGCTCTGTGACTCAGGTGAAATACGACCTGCCAAGACGGGTTATTGATAGTCTGGAGTATCTTGAACAGAGCGTTTACGTAGACTTCTCTAATTAGATTGACTTAATTTACTTCATTGGAGTTAAGAAGTTTGGGGAACATAAACATCGGAAAGATAAGTGTCGGAACCCCGCCCCGTGATGACCTCGGGACATGAATAGCGATAACATAGATGATATACAGGGTAGAAACCTTGTAAAAGGCATATATTCGTATTAAATACATCACTCGTTGCGACATGAGACCCTCTTATGCTTATTCGTAAAAGACCAGACATCGAACTTCAATGCTCTGCCTCCCCGGCGATCCAGCTGGTGTCTGCGGGTCAATGAAAGCAGTATGTCCCGAGCCGTGAGCAATATCCGTCTTCCCCTCAGTCATAGTGTGACTCCTCGAATCGAAACACTTGATGAACATGACTTCCTCCGGCGTCATATCCTTAGCGTAAAAGAAACGATGTTTCTCATTAGGAGCGATAGCATAAGTCTCCCCCTTGACCTCATACCCCTCTGTAGAAAACATCGACTCAGGATCCGGCGCTACCTCCCCATGCTCCTGCCACTCCTTCGGATAAAGAAGATCAACCTTGACAAAATCAGAAGGAGCAATACTCCTCCAATCGATCAGCGCCAACGGGAAATCAGAAGCCGGATTCTCAATCGGACGCCAGACATTGATAATCTGGTATCGACCCTTCAACAGCTCCTCTACTTCATCTTCGGGCAGGTGGCGACGTACTCGCGCCTCAGCAGCTTTGGGTGTTTGGTCCACGTGCACCAGCTGTACAGGGCTGCGCGCTGAGCCCGGCGTCCGCCGCCGGATGGTATGGTCGAAGATGGCTACCTTTTTCACCCCGGGAAGCTTCTGGCGGAGTAGCTCTTCTACCTCTGCGTAGTACCCCGCTCGCACTTTAGCGTCGTCGGTGAATGCGGTCTCCTTCGCGGGTGAGTTGTATAAGGCGAAGCCGGAATTGTCCGTTGTGAAGTTCGATTCTTGCCCTCGGAGATTCTCGACTTTGCGCTCGCGGTCTGTGAGTTGGTAGGAGCGGCCTGGTCCGTCGACTTTGCCCCATGGCTTTTTGAATGGCTCTGTGGCGTTGGGGTCGTAGGAAGCCCGGTCGATGTATTTAAAGGTTGCTGTCGTCATTTTTATAATGGGTTGGTGTGATTGACAGTTTAGCTTAAAGGTTTTGTTGAGGAATTTTGCTTTCCGAGAAGGGAGTAGTGGGCTGTTGGACTCTGTGCAGGTGAGAGGGAATGTATTTCCACACGAGAATTATGCTATGTGACGATTTAGAAATAAAGCGCGTTTTAAACTTATATATAAGGGATTAAGTATGAGGCGAGGTTAGATTGGAAATCCAGACATGATTATTAATTGTTTTTTTTCACGGGGCTGATGTCGGAGACATTTGAAAATGGCATCATCGACAGTTACCCCGGACCCGTGGACCAAACACCGGATTACAAATTTTAAGGACTATCCATGGATGTATCTTTTGTATAGCAACTCCATACAAAAGGTACTTAGGCACGAAGTATTCGTACCCCAACCCTCAAAACAGCCAGGGAAAGTATACCTAGGTACGATATATATACTGTAAGCAAAGTCTCAATTGTCTCAATTACTTAGTATCACTTTGATAAAGAATTGTCAAGTATGCTTGAAGCAGAGAATATGCACAAAATGTATATAGTTAGGGTGATTCCTAAAGGGTTCCCTGCGCCAGGCCATATACTTGGAATATCTTTTGTATGGCAACTGCAAAACATGCGTACAACATAACTTGGAAAGTGGTGAAATGTTGTAGTCCGGCGAATCCCAACATTAACTACTACTCGGCGTTTGGTGGGCTTGGTACGACTGATTTTGGGGAATTTCAACACAGTCATTTTGGACAGTCCCCCGGTTTAGATGATCAAATTTACACTGAAAAAGGTATAGACACAATCAGTCTAGGCCATTATTGCCTATGTAGTGATAGTTAATGAGTTCAATCTACAGGCATCAATCAAATATCCAGGCATTAACACGTGATATGCAGACACACCTTCCTCTTTCGGAAGCATATTGTCCCTGTCCAAGTTTCCTTATTTTGGATCAGCATCTTCCTGGGCAAAAGCCTAGTTGGTGACCAAGTGGCTATAAGATCCATGGATCAGATTCAGCACGCTGTCTCTTGATGTGTAGGTAGATGTCTACACTATCTAGGGGACATCGAGTGGAGGGCACCAAGGCCTATAGTGGACTTGATGTATGTGGACAGATAGTGATAAGTGATTCTTGCTGAAAACATATAGGTTTTACTCCATCTTTACAGTATGTCTGTACCACTCCCATATTATCCGAATGCTACATCGGACTCAACAGAATAGCCCAATCCAGCTCAAACTTGTTGGTAGCCAATTACCGCCTTCACTGACCGCAGGGCCTCGGGAACGTTTGAGACTCAACTTCAAGAGTGATCAGATATTTGAATCCAGAGGCATCAAATGATACCTTTCGCAATGATCGAATCTGTATGTTGAGCGTCGTGGAAGTCGCACTTCGTCCTTGACGGTTGTAATGTGGGAAACCCCATGTTTTGTTGTGGTCCGGGGCATTCCACACGGCACAAAGTGGAGTGAAATCGCTTGCGGACCAACATACCTAGCTCGGCCAGGCAACTCGTGATCTCATTTTCTAAGGTCGTTCTCCATGCGTTGGCACTTTTTCAGCCTGTGCGAACGCTTGGCATGGTAGTGACTAGTAAATCCCACGGCCTCAGAAGGCGTGCAACACAACATCTTATGAATGTTGCTAGTACCTCTTTTACGTGATCGAGGTGCCAACCAATCGATCCCAAGTAGCCAATTACATACGGATTATGGGGACGATGCGACGATCGCCAATCGGGTGCATTTCAGGATGTTGTTCACCCCCGCCCTGTGAGAGTGTTAATTTATATGACCCCGCAGCTTGATCACTACCGCTCTTCATATCTATGCTTTCAGGATAGAACTCCATCGAGCCGTAATTTCCAAAGCAACACGTGGAAGGGGATATTCGAAATTGGATCGTTCCGAGGAATGCCAGGGATATTTATTTACATGCAACATAAGAGAGGTCGCAAATCCTTTGATTCAGATCTCAAAATCAAGCACTCTATCCAGACCTTGGACCGGACGTCCCCTGATTCATAATGAAACTCAGTGCCCTTCTTGGTCTGTTGACCTTTGCGGCGGCGGTCTCTGCTGATATAAAGGATCAGCAATCCCCTCTTTCTTCGCCTTCCATCGCCAATCTGAAGAGCAAGATCAAGAATGTTGTCATCTTGGAAATGGAAAACCGCTCTGTGGATAACCTGCTCGGCGGGCAGACTATCAAGGGACTGGATAACCCTATCAATAACGGCCCTTTCTGCAACCCGTACAACTTGACCGATCTTTCAGCTGGCACGGTGTGCAGTTCTGCCAAGGATTTTGACTCTGTTCTAGATGATCCTGATCACTCCGTGACTGGAAACAACATCGAGTTCTATGGCAGTTTCGTCCCAAACAATGCCCACATTGCCCAGGGCAAGCTCACTCCCACCCAGCATGGCTTTGTGCATGAGCAGCTGCGCAGCTATGGCGACGATGCCGACAAGGCTTATCTGGCCAAGCAGGTTATTAACTACTATATCGAGGACGAAGTGCCGGTAATGACCACGCTGGTGCAGAACTACCTCACCTTCAACCACTGGCATTCGGATCACCCCGGTGTAAGTCCGAGCAATTATGCATACTCCATAGCCGCCGCGGATAACTTCTAACGTATATAAATAGCCTACCAACCCCAACCGGGCCTTTGTACTCTCAGGCACATCCGCTGGTCACGGATACAACGATGAGACCTTCAACCCAGATGTCCACGGCCTCACTCACCGTTCCATCTTCCAGCAGCTCTCGGAGACCAACCACACCTGGAAAAACTACTACACAAGTCCTAGTATGGTTGACGCCTACTTCTTCGACTGGACTTTTACAAGTGGCAACTCCGATAAAGCAGTCCCCCTGGATAACTTCTACGCTGATGCGGCAGCCGGCGCACTCCCGGAATTCTCCTTCGTTGACCCGTCCTGCTGCGGCGTGGGTACGAACTCCATGCACCCAACCGGCCTCGTCTCTGAAGGCGAAGCCCTCATTAAGAACGTGTATGACGCGGTCCGCTCCAGTCCACAGTGGGAAGAGACGCTCTTGATCCTCACCTTCGATGAGACAGGGGGTTTCCACGACCACGTCCCGCCTCCGCTTGCTACCCGCCCGGATGACCTGACGTACACCGAGATAGCGCCCAGTGGCGAGAAGTATACGTTCTCCTTCGACCGTCTCGGTGGTCGCGTCCCGACTCTCTTGATCTCGCCGTGGGTTGCAAAGGGTCAGGTCGAGCAGAAGGGCATTAACTCGGATGGCAAGGTCGTGTCCTACTCTGCTTCTTCAATCTTGCGTACTCTCGGCTATCTCTGGGATTTTGAGCCTTTCACGCCTCGTGTTAAATCTTCGCCTTCGTTTGAGCATCTTATTCAGAACACAGCGCGCACTGATACCCCTGTCAAGTTGCCTGTGCCAAAGGCCTTTAGAAAGACGGAGATTTAGAATAGTATTGCGGTGTCGCTTCCTATGTTGAGCGTGTATGAAGAGCTTTCAACAGCCTAACAAGGATAGTTGATGGAGTCGGGTCTGCACAGAGAGAGAGATAAGAATCAATGACAATAGATGATGATGACCTCTACCTACTATACCTACTACCATAGAGTCTATCTAAATAGCCTTATGGGACAAAGGAAGCAAAGTCACAAAACCTGGAAAGGTCTAGTAAAAAGCAAAGGAAGATCTGCTACAAACTGCATAAAAGCGCAGCTATAAACGCTGCAATAGTTGGAATACGACTCCATGTCGTTGATAGTGTGCATTCTGTTCGATATAAGCCTCCTCGAATATTTTGCTTTTGCTATAGAGTCGGTTTCTCTGGACCTCGGAAAAAGTGTCGCTTAGCTTTGCAATGGCCGTTCCAGGGTTACTATCCTCCAGCTTATCGCTAACATCGCAGCAAATCTCCAGCCTCTTGCGTGTGTCTCTACGATATGCAACGGAATTTTGCCGCCGTAACAAATTCCCTTGGCTCCGCGGCAAATCCTGACTTGATATGTTCATATCTAAACTTCTTTATCTTCTTTTTTTTTTATTATTATAAAAAAAAAACCTTTTCAAGGCCTGGGGGCGAAGTAGACTCAGCCTTGACTAAGTTGTTACCTTCATAAATAATGAGTTGCTGAGAACGCCCCGCATAAATATTGACGTCATCCGGGCTCCCGCAAAGAAACAGGGCGGTTCGACTCGGATTGCCCCGATGTGATACAAATATTGCAGGTTTGCAGGGGTTATAGTCTTTGTACTCCGTATGATGTCAACTCCTGCCTAGTGAAACGAAGATTCTTCGCTAAGAGATAATAGTTTTAATACGGCAACCTAAAATAGTAAACACGAGATCAAGATCTATAATAGAAATGTGTGGATTGTAGCTAATCTATTCGTGCCTATTCGGATGAAACTGCAGAAACTGTTCTCATGACAGTGTGCATATAGTGCTGATCCATTCTTCTAGACTTGGAGACTTGGACCTGTCAATGCAGCAGATGACATTTGGAATGCAGGTGAGGCTGCATGTCCCGACTACTATGTACAGTATATACCGTATGTGTACTGTATTATAGGAAGGAACCATGGAATCCACCCGAGCCAGTTGATAGAACCCATGGATCGAGGACGGGAAGGACCAAACAATAGAAACTGGAGTAAACAAAATACCTAGGTACATACATACACACATACAAAAGTACAAACAAATCTAAGCCACGGCCGTATTTCAAGCGTTTTTGCCACAGCCCCCGGGCAAAGATTGCCCTGATTGAGAGAGAGAGCCCTGGAGATAGATAGAGGGAGAGAGAGAGAGAGAGAGAGAGAGAGAGCCTCACGTGGATGTCTTTATCTGCCTTGCCTCTCTGCCTCTTTTTCCCTTTTCCATTCTCTCACATTTTCATCTGTCCGCTAAATTTCCCTTTCGACTCTTTCATCTCTCCACTCCAACTCTTAGTTTCATAACAGTGCTGCCTGCCGATCATCTAGTCTGAGGCTGAGCCGGTTGAGTGAGTGCCGGTACTCCGCTCTCTGCCCTACAGAATACCCCGTGGACGGCTTTCATCATCCTGAATCATTATTCAGAAACCCACTGGACTTTCGCCCGGCTTTTCTTGGCTTTGATTTGTTTGGCCCGAGACAAATCGTTACCAATCAGAATCAGCCCTAGAGACTTCGACTGGAATCATCTTCGACCATTAGTCGATCGCATCCTCTCTGCACACCCCCACTTCCCTGCCGCCCCCCCTCAATTCCCTGCAGTGTGCATCTTACTTTTTTTGCCCTTCCACTTCTTACTTCTCGACTCATTCATCCTTCATATCTCATATCTCCTTCCTCACTGCCATTACTACGTCCCATGTCGTACACTTACAGAGACCGCAAACGAGACTGGGACGAGACCCGTCCCGTAACAATCAAGCGCTACGTCATCTCTCCTGAAGACGACCGTCGAGACTTCATGTCGAGACACGATGACTCTTTCGGCGGCGAGCGCGAGCTGGTGATCCGGCGCAAAACGGATCGTGAAGAGCCTGTGACCGTCTCGCGATACGAGCGAGAGGTGGAGTATGAGCCACCCACACGCTACGAGAGAGACTACTACGATCGTGAGTACTTACATCCCTACACCTATCGTCCACATTCCCGGTCCATGGATTCCCTGGAACGAATGGAGCAGTCCCCTACTGCTACTACCATTGCCACCCGAAAACAATCCGTACTTATTCGTGAAGCCCGCAATTCGCATATCAGTCCCCGTGAATCCGACTATGACGTCGTGCGCCGCTCCGAGGCCGACGAAGACCCATATTACTACCACCGTCACCGTCGACTCCGCGAGTACGACGAACATCGCTCACGACGTGAGCTGAGCCCTGATGATTCCGTTTCCCAGACTAGTCGCCGTCGTCGCGGTGATCGTGATCATGACTACAGCAGCGATGATAGCATGGTCTACATCCGAAAGGAAACCCGCGACTATGACGATCACCCTCACCACCGCCGTCATATGGCAGAGGGTGCATTGGTAGGTGCTGGTGCGGCCGAATTGCTCCGCAGCCGCAGCAAGAAAGATGGGGAAGTCAGCCATGGCGCCAGCCGCATTGGTAAGACTCTTGGTGCAGGTGCTCTTGGTGCAGTCGCTGTGAATGCTGCATCGCATGCTCGCGACTACTACCACCGTAGCAAGAGCCGCCATCGTTCTCACTCCTTTGAAGATGACCGTTCTTCCCATCGTCACAGCAGACATGGCCGGAGTCGTCACGGCCGTAGCCGCAGCCGCTCCACTCCCACTCTCGTGCGAAGACATTGCTCGAGGTGGGAGTTGGTGCTGCGGCCTTGGCTGCTGGTGTGGCTGCATTGCGTAGCAAGTCGAAAGGTGGAGACCGTAAAAGCCGGTCCCGCACTCGCTCCCGTTCTCGGGCTGCTAGCCGGGGTCGTTCAGAGAAGGATGGAGAGCATGGTGAACGAAGCATGTCTGAACGCCGCAAGCACATGGCTGGCGCTGGTCTGGCCGGTGCGGCCGTGGCTGGCCTGGTTGAAAAGGTCCGCAGCCATTCGCGCTCTCGAAAGGGTGAGCGCTCCCGTTCCCGCAGCCGTATGAGACAAGCTCTTCCTATTGTGGGTGCCGGTCTTGCTACTGCTGCTGCCACCGGCCTCTACGAGAAGCAGAAGAGTGACAAAGATGAAAAGGAGGGTTCGAGCCGGGGCCGCCATCGCTCAAGGTCTCGCAGCCGCGCCCCGTCACAGTCTTATCCCGACCCAGCTCGCGACTCGGCCGGTCTGATCGAATACGGCAACGACCCAGTCACAGGTAGCATTCCATCCGAGCACTACTACGGCCAGCCCGGTGCACCCTACTACGAAGCACAGGAAGCCTACGGTCCCAGACGTCATAGCCGCAGTCGCAGTCGCAGTCGCAGCCGAGCCCGCTACACCAGCTCATCTGATTCCGACCGCGAAGGTCGCCGCCGACGAAGCAAGAAGCACCGCAGCCGCTCGCGAGACCTCGCGAGTGCTGCCCTGGGCGCAACAGGGCTCGGCTATGCCGCACACAAGTACAACGAGCGTCGCAAGTCCAAAGAGCGCGAACGCGAACACTCTAGTAAGTCTCCACATCCCCCAATTTTTATCGAGAAATATTCACCCTGACTAGTGGTGTAACCAGAGCATGATGACGTCCACCGTGATCCTTATGAAGAATCCTACGACCCAGAACCATACCCGCCTTCCCCGCAAAGAGCCCATGGCCCCCCGCCCATGGCTGACCCCCCACTACTACCCCAACAGCAACTATTTCCCCCCACCCCCGGGCGACTCAACCTATAACCTGGGCGGCGGTACCCCTGTTTCCTACAACCCGGCAGACTACCCTCCTCCACCTGGCGCTGCCCCGCCCCAGCCTTACGCATACGGCGCTGTGCCACCAGGAGGGATGGGACCCGATCAATACGCACCTCGGCCACGTAGGGCTGAAGACAATGTGAGCAGCTCCACCCTACCTACTGATGCCAATCATGTGCACAAAGGTGGGTTCATTGAACCCCAGCTGTGACCGTGTATAACGCGACAAAAGCTAACCTCCAAACCGACAGGTCTAAACATCCACCCCTTTCCAACGTCTCCACCCCGGTCAAGTAGCCAACCGCCACAAGTCTCGAAATCCGTCGCTTTCGACCTGACGGAGTCACCGCGGGATCCTGGCTACGAAACCGATGATAGTGACTCTACCGTTGAACCGTACTCATCTTCGCATCGTGGAGATAGAAGCCACCGTCGCGATCGAGATCGGGACCATCATCATAGCCGCCGCTCCTCATCCGTTCCCTATCCACCTATGCCCTACCCTAGTCCTGCTTCCCCAGATTACTACTCTTCCCATCCTGCTTCTAGTCACCACCGAAATCATCCATCAGCTCCAAAATCCCAGGAGGGAAGAGACCAGAACAAAGTCTCTGAAACAGATTCTGACTCAACCATCGACCTACCTAACCGCTTTGACGGGCAAGGCCGTCTTCTTCCTGAGCGGGATCCTGCTGTGGATAAATTTGAGGATCTGGTGAACAGGTTTACCAAAGTTCTGTTCTAGCGGGTTGCTGTGTGAATGTTTCTATCCCGCTTATTCCTGTCCATCCCCTTGACCTTATGTTTATTTCTTCTGCGTTGATGAACTTCATCTTCTACGTCTACCCCATCTCTTTAGTTTTGTATCTTTTTCCTTGGTATCTTATCCTTTTATGCTCGTCGATCTTGCAAGGTTATGAATCATGCCTGCTGCCGATGATAATGATTTTATGATGTGTATGTGTGTTCGGATAGTGCAATCTTTTTTTATGATGGCATAGTCATATTTTCAATATCCTTTTTGGTAATAACCTTGGAATGTTATGGATGCTTTAGTAAACATAGGGAAGTGCGTAGGATAGGAGCTCCCGGAGTAGAGATAGATATTAAGCGGAGTGAGGATGTCATATTGCCAAGTCAAAGACGAGCTGATTTGTATGAAAGTACATATCTATTTTCATAATTAATATATTCAAAGCCCGAAAGAATATCCATATTCATGTTTAAAAAAACCCGAACAAAAAGAGATACAGTCACAGAAACCTCTAAATGAAACAACATTATGCAAAGCTCAACCCTGTCTCGTATTCGAAGACTGAGCTAATAATGACAAGCATCTTTCCCCAAAGCCCTGCCGTACAAAAGAAATACGTATGTAACACAAGGCTGATTCCAAGATCAGCCAGAAGCGAGACAGATAGTACAGATACAGCGTGGTTCGCACCAAGAAGAATGGACATGGAAAAGAACCTCGAATAAAACCCGTTAAGAAAATATGGCTGACTGCCGTGTAAGGAATGGAGGGACGGAGCGATGTAGCAGATATCGCATCCATTCCAAGGAAGTGGCTAACGAAGAAAAAGCCATATCCGAAATAGTTTTTCAAAGGACAAGAGAGAAAGGGATGGCAAGAAGTAGATGGAGTTGATCCATGAGAGAACTTGTCCAAGGCCTGCGAGCACAAAAAGACGAAAATTGCAAATGGGGTATACTGCGGAATGAAGTCTCAAGGGAAGATAGGGGCCATACTGCGTATCTGTATGATGTATACAGAGTAGGCCACCAAAGGCAATAGGCTCTTTGCTTTTCGTCGCGTTACATGAAGATAAAAAAGTAAAACATAATTAAGAAAAGATAGGGCTGTCGTAAGTCAATGATCTCGATCTATCGCTAAGTTTGTTATGCCGTAAAAGGTCGTCTCGAATCCCCAGATCCAGTGGATCGAGTATCGAGTGGAAGGCGAATGCGTGGTACGTTTCTTTGTGGCACAGAAATTCGTACTGTGTCGTTGCTCGGAGGTGTTTGCTCCGGATCGTTATCATCGGTATCGGGAACCACCTTGATGCTGGAGCTAACAGATGCCGAGAGGTAGCGGGAGCTGAGTGGGAGCTGGTATTTGATGATACCGCGGACAGTCAACTCAAAGGGGTGTTGGAGGACTCGCTCCCAGCGCTCCGTGCCTCCTGCCTCGGTTTTGTTTCCTGGCCGGGGCAGTCGGATCTGTCCTTTGGAGCTGGAAGTCAAATGATTCCAAGGAGATGATTCGAAAGAGAGTGGGGAATCGAAGTGGAACACGCGGCCAAGCAACATTGATCGCGGGTCGCCTTCTGGATCGGTTGGGGGATCAGTTCCCTTGTCAACTCCGTCGGTGGTGTGTGGGTCAGGTTGACTAGACATGGCTTCCTTAACACAGTCCACATTGCCTAGACACCTCACGGCCTGTGACAACTCCCAGCGACGTCGGCTTTGCTCCACGCGTGGGAAGTTATCCAGGTCACCGTGCTCCCGCCAAAACTTGTCGGTTCCAACATAACGACTCTTCGCGAATATGTTGACATCGGTGTCATCGATGGTCACAGGGAACAAGTTCGGATTGATGGCCTGCACGTTCAGATCCAACATAATTTCCTGTTCCGAAGCCAGCACGTTTTGAATCGCGATAACTTGGACATCTAGAAGGGGTTGGGTTGCCGCCACGATGAACGAGGTGGCACCGCCAGCGACAATCAACAACAGAAGGAAGATAATAGCGCACGAGCCAAATCGAGCGAAAACCCCGCGCTCCCGCTGCGCCATGTACTGCATCTGCCGTAAGCTTGCACTGTTGGGCCGTCGACCACCGCGACTGTGGATTGTACGTGGTGTGCCTACCAACGGGGTACGTTCATCGTCTGCACCCTCTGCCTCATAGTCATACTCGCCGCCCTTCTTGGAACCGCTAATGGTTCTGTAGTTGGGAGACAGCCGGTGGCGAGAATGCCGATAGCTATTCCCGATGAAATGACGAGGGGACTTTTGAGATTGGCTCTGCGAGTGAGCACTGTCGTTATCAAAAAGATTCGGGTGCATGCCGTTGCGTCCATGAAGGCGCCCCAGATTGTGATGTCGGGGAGTGATGGTTCCACTCCCATCCGTTCTGGTAGAGCGCGAAGCCATATCTATCTCGACACCATCACCATCTATGGTGCCGTTGTTGTAGGGGTTGGTGTTGGTAAACTTCATGCTGCGTTTGCCTGTCACGCCATGGGAAGTGTCCCGCAAACCTCGGGTACGACCAGCCAACTGCTCCGCTTGACTCGCCATAGAGGTCGCACTAGGAGTTCGAGAATGATACCTGGGTGGTCGAGAAGGATATGGATCAGGCGGGTTCGAGTCGTAAACGAAAGTCTCGTCGGAGTCCGAAACATCAGCCTCGTCCACTGCATTGGCCACTCTAGCCTCGAAGATGTCGGCTTTGCTTGTTACAGGGCCTGTCGTAAGAAGGGCATTGGATCGACGGTTCTTTTTCTTTTCTTTGCGCGGACGAATGGTTTCATTGGAAGGCTTCATGCGAAGTGTACCCTGTTCTGCACGAGAAGCGTTGCCTCGTTCACCATTCCCCACTCCCATGGAAACTTGCGGAATCGAACTGACGGTTTCTGTTTCTACAATCATGTTGCGCACTGAGCCGTCGGCGGGCTTTCCACGAGCACTCGCACTGAGTGATGTTGTCGATCGCTGTGACATCAGAGTTTTGGTTGTTTTGGCCGCACTGGGCGCCTGTGGACGGGTCTCTTCCTTTGGTTCCGAACTCCGATTCTCACCACTATCACTGCCACTCCCTGAAGTTTGATGCGGAGCACGTGGGGTCGGGTCTTCGTCGATCCGGTGCAATCGTGATTCCTCCGGGATCACCGACTGGGTAGGAGTCTCGCTGGACGGAGTAGAGGGATTGCTTGCCATCTCTTCGACGGTTTCCAGGGAGGACCCTTGCCCACTAACACCCCTAGCGACAGTCCGAGTTGTGTTTCGGTCCGGTTTAGGTGTGAAATCCTCCAACGGCAATGAAGATCTTTTCTGCGAAGTATTCGGAAGTGTCGAGTCCAGATCCGTGCGACGGTTCGCGGCCCACAATGGCATATTGGATTTTTCCGGACCGGGGACATTGGCCGGCGAGTCGACAGGAGCGGAGAGACCTAGGGACCTGACTGGAGAAGAGGAGGAACGTTGAAGATTCGGTGTTGGTGAGCTTGTAGGTGGGCCGGATGTCAGGCCGTTAGAGTGTCGGGTCGGACTGGATCGGTCTTGACTGGTCTTTCGCGATTGTGAGGATACCCGGGTGGGCGAGGAAGGATTGTAGGTAGGAGTGTAGGTACGTGAAGAATGTCGGACCGGGGAGGGCTCGCGGGAGGAAACAGCGGAGTTCGTTGTAGACGCGGAAGCGGAAGCGGTAGGAGGAGTGGGAAAAAGTTTAGGGACCTGAGACAAGAGTTGAGTCTGAGGTGTAACGAGAGACCGTTCCATCATGCCACTTTCGCTGGCCGATCGGTGCGTAGGGTCTGACGCCGCCTCTGCATCCTCCGGTCCTCTGGATCGGCCAGGGGTGCCATTAAGGTGAGGCAGCCTCTCGGACTCCGCAGCCATGGTCCCTGTTGAGTCAGAATGGACTGATACGACGTGGACAAGTCAGGAGACCCGAGAGGTAGCCGGGTTAGTTGGGCAGACACAGGGCCCAAAAAGGGTAACCAGAAAAAGCAAGGCACAGCGCCTAGACAGGGAAAGCTCGACGGTGAAGAAGTGAGTTGTTTGGCAAGAGCGAATGAGATATCACGAGGATCGAATGAAATGTTGCGCAGAATACGGGTTACACATGCGAGGGTCCAGGAGAACGAATAGCCGATGACCACATGCTGTTTGCCGCAAATCGGGTTCTGTACAGAAACGCACAAGCGAAAAATGGCTGCAGCAGGTGCAGGGGTTGGGGAAACTGGAGAGAGATGGAGGTTTAGAACACCAAGTGGGCCGTCAGTGTAGCATAAAGAGAGCCCATCACTTGTGCCGTTTTCTGCTTTGTTGCCAACAAAAACAAAGGCCTAGAACGAAGGAAGTGAAGATGGACAAGATTTGGTTGGCGGATTTAGGCAAATGGAGACCCGCCGATCCGGCTCAACGTTTTTGACTGGCTTGACTGGCTCGACTGGACTGGATTGACGTTGTTTCGTTGTTCTTGGAGTGGCGCCTCTGCCAAATGTGCAGAAGTCGGTCAAAACCTCGGTGAAAAGTGGCTGATGGGGTCGTGGCAAAGACCAATGACCGTGGTCCACGTCAAGGGGGTGACTGCATGGAAGCACAACGGATGGGTCTAGAATCGAGTCGAAAAGTCGAAAAGAAAGAAGACAAAAAAAAAGAAGATGGAGGTAGAGTACATGTAGAGAAATAGAGTAGAGAAATAGAGTAGAGAAATAGAAAAGAACAACCTTGGAAAGATGAAGTCATTGGGGATGACCGATGGGTGACGCCGAGAACGGTAATAAACGGTAATAAACGGTAATAAACGGTAATAAACGGTAATAAATGACCGATGGTAATGAAACATACAGGGATGTCAGATCCCTTGGTCTTCCCAGATATCCTCTGCGAGAGACTGAAGGCGTTGCACGGAAAGAGATATATCTCTTTCCGCGGGAATTTTTGGCGCTCTGTCAAACAACGCATCGAATGGAATGCGCAGGGGGCCGGCGACCTTAACTCTGCCCTTCGTGGTCT